AGAACTTTTGATAAAAATGCCACAGACGACTTGTCGGAAAACGAAGGTCTCTGCGGACTCCAAAGCCCCTAAGTGACTTCGTTAAGTCATTCATATATTATAGTAAGCAAAAGGTGCAAGTGAGGTCCTCGTTCTCATATGAGATTCGGTTGATGAGCAGTGTCATCCAAAGTATCGCGCTTGGTAATATTTTGCTTATGTTTTGCAGTAAGTATATTTTGTATGCATTTAAGAACGCCCGCTCTTTTATTTATACCGATGTTCTTAAACCTCAATATTCACTCCCTAAGCCTATTCCTATCGCATTTGGTATTTTCAGGGATGCCTCCTAAAATGCTTAGTAAATTGAAAGAAAAACGCACTCCCTTCCAATATTTTTCGGCGACACTGATCCACAGACGCATTACTATGCTGCTTTTTTCAGTCTTCTTTCAATAGGGAGGCAATGGATCTATTTTACATCGAGATAAGTTGTTCTTATCTGCCTAATTGTCTTATCAAACAGCTAGAGTAAACACTAAAATTCTTGTCCGTTTTATTCGCGTTTCGTGAATGAGGCTATAACTAGCATGTCATCTTCTGAACCGTAAAATTTAATTGGTGGTTTGTATGTCGTGCGCAACGAACCACGTTATGGAACCTCCTGCTCCAGATTATTTATTTCTTTGTTGAAAACAGAACGAGAAATGGGTAGGTTTACTTTTTCGTAAAGTTTAACAGCGGGAAGGTTCTCGTCCTAACTTAGAAATAAATTGGACCACGAACTGTACATTGCATAGTGCCTGTATACTTAAATAAATAAATAAATAAATAAATAATTTTTTTACAAAGACTCTTGGGGTCCTTAAATTCCCCCGAAAATTTTTATTTGCTTGTTTTGGCAGTACCCTTAGCGTACAAAATTAAACAATTTATTTATTTGCTAATTATTCGTAGGAAGTTAAGCTTATGATTAGTCCACCCGAGCGGGGTGGTTTGAAAGCAAAAAGCCACAGGCAGAATGGCATTACCAACAAAGGCAAGGGAGACTGGAATGGCCATTTCTGGCCTATTAGTCATCGTTATCCAGTCATATCCAATCCAGAGGTGTGGAACACTCGGGGCTCGATCCCGTGACCTGTTGGTTGGAAATCCAACGTCTCTAACCATTGAGTCGCGGCGCAGGCGGTTCATGTCGAGTACGATTTAAATTTCAGGTACCAAAGCGTCGTGGGTGACTTTGCCCTTTGTGGAGTCAGCCGGTCTGTATCATTCAGCGCTAAAATGTTTGAGACCCAAATCGAGGCAATGGATGTAGGCATGTGGAATGACTTTGTCGAATTTCGCACTATAGGGTCAAACATGATTAAGTTTATCATATATGGAGGCTGTCTGCATTTCTCGCTGTCCTCCCCGCCTGACTCGTAAGTTCAGGCAACGGCAGAGTTGTTTCCAATCTTGAATCCGAAGTTGACATCATTTTATCCCAAATGCAGTTTTTCTATGATTGAGTGGCGTTCGCCGATCGCTTTTTTACGGAAGTCGCTCGTCCCGCTGCGCCTTAGGGCTCTCTCTCTCTCGAGCCCAACCAGCAGCCGCACAGAAAGATGTGGGAGGTTCAGCGGCGGAAATTTAAGTGCTGGCCCTACAGCGATGCAAGTGCTCCCACCAGACGTGTCTGAACGATGACTTAAAATGCACGTTTGACCCGGTAAAACAGTCCGGAGGCAGCCACGAACGGCGTTTCCCATGTTTCTGCCACAAGCACAACGTCTAGACATTTGAGAAGCACGATAGTCTGAAGCAAGGACTTCTCATTTAGCAAGGATCTTACGTTTCGAGTGGAACGTTTAAAGGGCGAACTGTCCGTTTCTGGAGGGAGGAAATTAAGTCATCCAGTGGTTGACTGCTAACGGAAAATAGAGATCGGACATGTATGTTTGCATGTATGTATGTAGGTAGGTAGAGGTAAGAAGATGTACAAGGCATTCATCCTGCCGTCGCTGCGTATGGAGCGGAGACCTTGACGGTGTACAGGAAGCAGGTACAGAGACCAAACCACTTCCGCCCCGGCTGTCTTCGGCGGATATCGAATCTGAGGTGGCAGGACCAGATCCCCGACACGGACGTACTGGATCGGACAGGAATCTTCGGTCTCTACAACATGTTGAGACAATGGCAATTGCTTTGGAGAGGTCACTTCGTGGCTCCTTCTTAATGCAGCATTTATGACACTATCACTCCGTGAGACGGCAGCCCAATGTGACGGAACGTCAAGGTGCAACTTTGACCACGCCAGCCCCTTTTGACGTTGTTGGTTAAAATCCTAGCCATTTTATGTGCGGGCCAGTGGGTATGGTGTGGAGCGCCAAGATGCGGACCCGACCGTGCGATCTATCTACGTCCTTCCCCCCTTCGGTCTTCTGGATGCTGTCTTGACGATGAGCCCAGGTGTGGAAGGAGAAGCGAGTGCAGTAGATGCTGCGCAAGTCCTCATTCACTACAAGTTAAATCAAGCGCAACTAACTGTACCCGCTCTCACTTTCTTGTGGAGCACACAATGGACACCGTCGGAAACGACGGTTGAACTATGTATGTATGCATGCATGTATTTGAAGTGCTTAAGACAGAATCACTGTTGATTCTTTGCGCACAATAATTTCGCCAATAGTTCACGCTCTTAATCAAAATGCAAACATTTGGAATGTTGTCGTTTCACAGTACAAGATAATTTTAAAAACGCCGATGCTACTTCGAATCCGTACTGAAAACCAGTGGATCGTGGTGTTCTACTAGGCCAGTTATGGGTATTCATGTGACAAAAGATGACCTTTCGTCAGAACTTTTCAGTCAAGCTTTATTTTAAACATAAAATGGTGTCGGCCGTCAAAACCTAATCTGGCATCGAGTCCCTTGGTCGGCTACTCCCTTGTTATTCTGCATAAATTTTGTGTCATCGAAGGCGCCAGAGTGAAGGTTTAGAGGTGTGAGATTTCGGGAGGAACTGATGGAAGGCGAAGATGATTACTGTTGCGGGATAGCTGGGTTTTCATAGGAATCCCATAGAATATTAGAGCGTTAGTGACCCTAAGGACCAAAAGAATATTCTTATCCAAGTGGAGATGTTGTTTAGAATCCCGGTGCGAACGCGGCTGTGGAAGTATTGTGCTGGAGGGCCGGAGACCCACTCCTTCAATTCAAACGGGATCGTTATTCCAGAACGGGAAAATTTTGATTAAGCAGGTTGCCAAGAGCTATGGGTATTTGAAATTTTGACGCATTTTTGAATGTGTTGGAGGACCGTAGAGGGAAATAATTTTTACAAAGTGGTATTTTTAAATGCAAGAGTGACGGACGTCCCATTTGACTCTGCCTCATAAAGAAGTAACTGGTTTAGTTTGCTCGGGTTTGTTTTTGGGGTTGAATACGATTGTGAGTGTAATCCACATTTAATGGCGTTGGGATTTCCACTATCGACCACAGTCGACTCCATGCACTGTGAACTAAACTATGAGGTGGATGTATCGTTACAATGGCAACAATCGACCCGAGTTTGCAATCTTGGAAATATCATCGTATAATCAAGAGAGTCACCTGTTGAACACAGTGAGACGACGCACAAAACCTTTGTTCAACGTGGTAAGTTTGTTTGGATTTGTTACGACCAGTCTTAAGGCCGGTGGTTGCGTGACTTATTTGCTCTTCTTAATTTTGCACAGTTAACGCATTCAACTAGCGATACATGTTTATGTACGTTGAAATGCGATGGTCTGTTTTTCTTATTGACACAAAGGCAAGGACAGTTATTCGATGCCGTCTTATCGTAGGAAGAATTGGGCGCAAGAGAGTTAGAATTTCCACAGTAGAGTTTTCGGAAAATGGTACGTAATTAAAAAGAGCACTCATCCGCGAGAGACATAGGCACAAAACCATCAAATATATTGGAGTAGGATCAACCGAAGCACTCAAGATTGTTGACTAGGAGGTAGGGTAACCGGTCATTTATACCGGATATGGATAACCGACCCTAGAACTTCAGAGCATAGGTTTAGCCGTATCTGCAGAACATGGCGGTGAATGTTCAGGTCAGCAGAAAGGTTTATGCTGCCTGTCTAGGTAGGCCAAGTTTTGAGAAACTGCCGTTCCCGT